AAAGCAGAGTCCCCATACGGCTACAGGGCCTTGTCTCAAGGACTCCCCATGGGGTACGTGCACCCAAGAGGGAAGAAGCCTGCCTTGGTCACACCCCAGAAGTCTCACAGGAAGGTCTGTTTTATCCCTGTGGGTACGGCAATGGCACAACAGTACGGATGATCACAAGGGCTTTGGGTGAATGCTTCCAGGTCTAGACCGTGTTAGGGAGGGCGGATCAGGCTGAGCTGCAGAATGAGCGGCCAGCAACACCTCACGGATTTGCCACCGGTGGGAATGAGGTGTGGCTCCCCAGAGGATTTTTCCAGTTAGCTGAATTTCAGAGCCAGGCTTTTTTTTTTTTTTTTCCTTCCCCTGTAATTTTAACTAGTTTGCACGGAGGAGGCCTTTTCTAAAATGGATTTCACACTTCTCTGACTCCTCAAACTGAGGCTACAGAACATAATTAAACTTATCAGGATGATGTGGGGTCATTGTGTGAAATCTCAATTATTAAGCTTTGGAGCCAGACCGTCTGGTTCTGATCCCAGCTTCTCCTCCGGATTGCTGTGTGGCTTCAGGCAAGGGTGTTAACCTCTCTGGGCCTCAGTTTCCCCATCTTTGAAATGGGACTAATAATAGTTACTGCCTCATGGGATTGGTGAGAGGACTAAAGGAGCCAATAGTCATGAAAGGATATGCTGGGCACAGAGCAGGCAGAGCCATATTCTACTGCCATTTTTGTAGGTAGACACCAGTGAATTGTTGCGGTTGCATAGGGTTCAGCCCAGGAGTAGATGAGCGGTCCACAAGCATCGACTCCCATTCTTTTTTTTTTTTTTTTTTAATAACATTTAGTATATTATTTGTTTCAGGGGTACAGGTCTGTGATTCATCAGTCTTACACACTTCACAGCACTCACCATAGCATATACCCTCCCCAGTGTCCATCCTCCAGCCACTCCATCCCTCCCACCCCCCTCCACTCCAGCAACCCTGTTTGTTTCCTGAAATTAAGAGTCTCTTATGGTTTGTCTACCTCTCTGGTTTCGTCTTGCTTCATTTTTCCTTCCTTTACCCTATGATTCTCTATCTTGTTTCTCAAATTTCTCATATCAGTGAGAGCATACGATAACTGTCTTTCTCTGATTGTCTTATTTTGTTCAGCATAAAACCCTTTAGTTCCATCCATGTCGTCGCAAATGGCAAAGACTTCATTTCTTTTGATGGCTGCATAGTATTCCATTGTATATATGTACCACATTTTCTTTATCTGTTCTGTTGATGGACACCTCAGCTCTTTCCACAGTTTAGCTATTGTGGACATTGCTGCTATGAACATTGGCATTGATTCCCATTCTGACAGCAGCTCCATGCTCCACACTGTGGACTGGTGTTTGACATCGGCCCTTTGCTTTACTCCCCCCAATGGAGTCACAGGGGGCATTCCTACTCCATTTTTCCAGAGGCGACCACCCAGGCTTAGGTGACATCGCTTGCCACAGGCTGCTCAGCGGATAGGTGGCAGAAGTGTGGCTCCAAGCAGATGGCCTGGGCTCCTGCGTACTGTTTTGTGTCAGGTGTGGTGTGGGGAACAGTGGACCTCCCAGGGGAGCACTGAGTGGTCCTGGGAGTGATGAGCTGTAACGTTCTGCATCAATTGTTCCTCCTTCCCTTCCTAACCTTTCAGGGCTTTGAGGGCTTCTCCTAGGAAGCACCAATAAGAGCTTTGGCCCCTGGACTTTATGGCATTGCTTTTGGCTGTTTCAATATATGTAATAATTTTCGAGTCAGTCACTGCAGGTTGCTGCATGTGGCTTGCCTGTGTTCATTCGGGTGACCTCCAGATGCGAAGGGTCACACCTGGAGTTCCAGACAAGGCATATGCTGGGGAAGCTGCAGAGGCTCTGGACTCTTGAGTGCCAGCCTTCTCCACTGCCACCCCCGTCCCCATATGCTCCCTGAGGCATCAACACCGAAGCCTAAATCGCCTGGCATTAAAAGACAGCATCGCCCCCCACCGTCCGGCAGGTTACTTTACAGATAGGAAACTGAGGCAGAGAGCCCAGAACTCAGGGCGCCTTGCTGGGCTGTGCCCCCTGCTGTCCTCAGCAGACTCTGAAGGTCAGTGTTTTCTGGTGCTACGGCCCCCTGCCCCCATGGGGAGGAGCCAGGGCCGGCTTTGTGAGCCCATGAGCTGTGCAGTCCCGTAGGACCTATGCTGCCTATGCTTGGTTTAAAGGCCTGCTGTCCCATTTTCCATTTGTCATGGGCCTCACCAATTCTATAGCCAGTGTTGGGAGCCCACCTGGTCCTAGGCCTCCTCCTTTTTCTAGGCCACAGAATAGAGCTCCTCAAGGAGGCATTTAAAATGCTCCCTCCCTCCAACACAGGATAGGATTGGAACTTTCTGCTGTGGAGATACAGTGACTGCAGGGGGCAGGTTTAGAAGGTTAGAGACCTTTCAGCAAGGCTGAGGGGGAAAGCCCTGCCTGGGTGACCCTCTGTGTGACCTTGGACACAGGACAGGATTTAAAACCCTCAGTTTCCTTATCTGTAAAATGGAGAGAGTAGCAGAGTTACTTCATATGGTTGTTATGCGGATTCAGTGAAATAATGTGCATAAAGAGAAGGCCTCATACAGTGACTTGCATGTAATAAGTGCTCAATAAAGAAGTCGGTCTCTTATTCCAGGTCTGACGTCCTAGATTTCTCTGGAGGCTTAAGATTCCCGGGGCTCCTAGGCCTTGCAAGCCCCCAGTCCAGCTCCTTCTTCCTCTCAGGTGGGCCATGAAGAGGGACATGAGGAAAGCCATCATTACCTGGGCCCCTCTGTGTGCCTCAGCACGGCCCCTCCTCAGCACCTCCCTTGAGGGGGCACTTGCGGCCCAGGTTAACCAGAGGCCAGCCCCTCCCTGTCCATACCCACTCCAGAGTCTGAAGAAACCAGAGCAGAAGGCCCCATGAACTGGACAGTGCTCTCTCTCTCAGGGAGCAGAGTGGGGTGCCAGAAGAGACATGACTTGGAAATCCGTTCATACATGTTGAATTGCCGGTCTACCAGTTGCCCACTGGTGATCTTGGCCAGAGTAGCTGCTTCCACCCCCTGGTTCCTCATTGATAAAAAAGCAACAAAGGATTACTTCAAGGGCTAAAGGTGATAAGGAGCTCAGTGACTTGGCCCTGCCTACGGTATCTAATAAATGTGTGTTGAATGAATGAATGAGAGAAGGGAGGGCTGCTTTGTGTTTGCTATTGTCAGGTGTCCTGAGGGAAGGTGTGTGACGGGGTGGGGCTGGGGCGGGGACAGAGTCCACCCCTGTCGAGGGTACAGGGAGGGGCAAGAGTACAAATAACCATGATAGCTTGCACGTACAAGGCCCCTGGTGTGCGCCATACCGTTTCTAGCACTATCGTCATACTGATTCATTTCAACCTCACACCAAGCCTATGAGGTAGGCTGCCAGTACCCAATTCTACAGATGAGAACACTGAGGCCAGAGAGGTGAACAACTTGCTCTAGGTCACACAGCTAGACAGGGACGGAGCTGGAGCAGGCAGCCTGGCCCCAGCAGCCATATTCTTTTTTTTCCTCCCAGCAATTATATCCTTAACCATTATACTATTATACCCACCCCCAAACCTTTGGCCGTGTCCTTCAAACTTGGAGGAAGTTACCTTTTCATCTCTGCCACCATTTGGGTCCTCACAGGGCTGTAGGACACTGATCTCATGAGACCGGCCCCCCAGTGAGAGGAAGGGGGTAGTGTGAGAGCTAGGTGACTTCCCGACAGTCCCTGGCTCTGAAGGGCAAGCTGGGCCCCAGGGACCTGATGACAAAGCTCTCAGCTCTGGCCACCTGGCAGCTGATTTGTCAGGATGCAGACCTTTCAGGATGAAGAGGCCACATGGGGATGGCTGGAGGAGGCTGTGGGGGCATTTCTGCCCAGGGCCCTGTCAGCCGTAGCAAACTGAGGGACGGGGGCCACGGAGGGGTCCAGCAGTCCTCTCCAGGGCCTGGGTAACTTCTTTGTGCTCTTGGGCTGAGTCAGGGCAGTCAGATACTCAGGGCTCTGCTTCTTGAACTTGGGGGAGTCACTCCCTTCTTTGAGCCTGAGGCCCCTTACCTTGGGAGAGTTGGGTGGGTTTCTCATGGGTTAGTTGGTGTGAAAGTGATGTCTCATTTTTTTTAAAAAGATGTATTTATTTGAGAGAAAGAGCACGTGAGCAAGGGGAGGAACAGAGGGAGAGGGAGAAGAAGAATCCCTCAGCAGACCCCCAGCCCCCAGCTCAGCGCAGAGGCTCCATCCCCTGACCCTGAGATCATGACCTGAGGTGAAACCAAGGGTCGGGTGCTTAACCAACTGCGCCACCCAGGAGCCCCAGTGATGTTTCATCTTGACCGTCTGCTGGGAGCCACCCGGTGTGTGAGGGGATGAGGCAGTGTGGACAGAGTGAGGGCTCTGAGGTTGGCAGACCCAGCTCAGAGGAGCCTTGGGTGAGCCGTTTCAGCTCTCTGAGCCATTGCGTGAAAAACGGACTGAGGCACATCAACACTGACGTGACTTCACTCTGCCAAGGGCTTTGCCTCTAGTCCTTGCAACAGCCCTTTGAGGTGGGTGATGTGATCAGCCTTGTGTTATAGAGGGGAAACTGAGGCACTGAGGGGTTGCCTCCCTTGTCTAAGGTCACACAGCTAGAAAGTTTAGAACCAGAATTCAAACTGGGGCAGCGGGTTCTAGAATCCCCCTGTTTCACCTCCGGCCTCTGCCCCCTACCCTGCACTGCTCCATTAGACCTGCCCAGTGGGGTTGTTTGAAGATGGAATGAGATCCCCCAAGTATTAGCCCAGGGCCCAGCCCTTCATTGGTGCAGGGCAAACAAAACATGCTGTCCTTTAACCAGCTTGGTGCTCAGAATCCTCCTGTTTTCCAGGGCCTTGGGGCTGTGTTTCCACGGGGATTGGGGCACCCTCCAGCCTTCTCCTGCCTCACACTCTTGTTCTGCCTCCTTCCCACCAGGATGTAGCCACAATGCAGTTCTGTGCCAACAAGCTGGACAAGAAAGATTTCTTTGGGAAGTCCGACCCCTTCTTGGTGTTCTACAGAAGCAATGAGGATGGAACGTGAGTTCCCTGACCACACTTCACCCCCTTTCCAGCATCAGGGATGGAGGGGTGCGGCGACCTGCCAGGCATGGGGGCTTGGACTTGCCTCTTCCCAGTGGTACCTGGGCCTCCTGCTGAGCATGGAAGTCAGGGGCTCCCGTGGTACCCTGACACATGACACATGATTGGGACCAGTGGGGGGTAAGGGCAGCCCCGAAGCCAGCGGTGCCATTCTGAGTGTCTCAGCCGCGGTTGTTGGAGGTGAGGGGAGTGGGCGAAAGCTGGGCTAGGGTGGGAAGGAAGGGTTCCTCCGATAGCCCCTTCCTCTTCCGCACAAGTCAGCGCATATCTCCAGCCCACCCCTCCTCCACCTGCAGGCCTCGGAACACCCCTACTACCCCACGCGCCCCCCACCCAACTACCACATGCCCGGCATGGCAAATCAGGACCCTGTTACCTGCCCAGCCCCACACCTTGCCAAAGGCTTCATTCAAAACTGCACGCGTCTTTAAATCCCCCATTTCCTCCTCTCCTCTCCCTAATCTGGAAGCCACCCACAATATGACGGAAACACACAGCGCGGCGGCAAATGTAGGTCAGCTGTGCACACGGATGCTCAGATTCCAGGTTGAGGGTCTGGGGACCTCTGTCCACCCCACCAGCTCACTGTGTGACCTGGGGCAAGTTATACCCCCTCTCTGGGCCTATTTTCTCATCAGGAAAATGAGCCAGTTGGATGAGGCAGTCTCCATGGTCTCTTGAAGCAGCATGGCTTTGGGAGGCTGTGGCCACTTTGAGCTGGGATGCTGCCGAACCGGGAAGCCATGGGGTCAGGGAGGTTAATTAGAAAGACACTGCTGGAGAAGGGGAACTTGGAAGCAGGTTAGGAAGGAGAGGGAGAAAATAGATCCATGGGGAAGGAGAAGGGAAGAACAACAGGCAAGAGAAAAGCAGAGCGCAAAGCAGGTGTGCCTGGAGCGGAGGGCAGAAAGGCCTCCGCCCAGTTCCCCTGGATTCTGGAACGGTGTGTGTGTGTGTGTGTGTGTGTGTGTGTGTGTGTGTGTGTGTGTGTTGGGGGGCAGGGAGGAGTAGGAGGAGGTGTGTTTCAGTTCAAGAGAAAACTGATTTTAAAACCTGAACGAACAAAACAAGGGAAATTAGGTGTGATCATTTGCATAACAAAAGGAGTCTTTGTCTCACCAAAGGACTCCCAGCAGGATTTCTTTAAATAATTCTTGTTGACTTTGACTTGACTTGAGGGAGGGAGGGAAAGGGCCCAGCAATGTTCCGGGCGCCCACGGAAATGTCCACACAGGTCCCCTCCAGAGAGGAAATGCCTGGTCAGGCTGGGTTTGTCTCGGAGGTGAAGACCAGCAGGGCCAGGAGAGAGGGATTGGGGTTTAGGAGCAGGGGAGGGGTGTGTTGCAAAGTGTTTGCCAGTGATTGTTCTAGCAGAGCCTGTGTAGGATGGGTGGGGAGGGGGCAGGGAAGAGGGAGAGACTCGTGACTGACACCGTGAACAGGTGGGAGGTGCTGCGCGCCCGCGAGCCTCGCTGGGGGGAATGCAGGGAGGAAGTGGGGAGGGGAGGGCGGGGCAAAAGGACAGTGAGCAGACCTCACAGGGCAGGACTGGGGTGGTCACTGAAGTCAGAGCCCCTCCCTGGCAGTGGAGCTGTGGGAAACCCAGAGTGTTAAAAATGGCAAAGGAGCTGGTCAAATGGGGGAGGCGATGGGAGTTTATTTGGGGGCGAGTTTCCCTTGAGGCATGGGCTGGATCTCTCCAAGGGCAGCTGGAGAAACCCACCCAGAGCCCCCCAGAGGGTGGGCCTGTCTGTGGGCACAGGTCAGAGGCTGACCTAGTGGAAGCAGGGTGGTTACCCAAGGTTTAAGGAGAGATCAGTAGAAGGTTCGGGTGACACTGCCAGTTAGGAAGAGGTCAGAAGGAAGGTCAGTGAGGGAACCCAGGGAGTGGAATGTCCTGGGGGGAAAGGGGAGGAAGCACCCATGGAGCTGCTGGTGCTGTACCTACTTTGTCTTCTTCAGTCCTGGTCACCCCTCCGGCTCCGCCAAGCTGCCTGCTGTGTACCTTTAGGCAAGTCTCTTAAACCAATGGAATTTTCTGGAATGATGGGAATGTTCTGTGTCTTGCCATCCAACACAGTCGCCATTAGCTACGGTAGCTGTTGAGTATGTGAAAAGAGTGACTGAGGAGCTTAATTTTTAATTAAATTAAACTTAATTTAAATTTAATTTAATTTAAAGGTAAATAGCCCCATGTGGCTAGTGGCTGCCATATTGGACAGTGCACCTCCCCAACTCAGTTTCTTGGTATGTACAGTGGGGATAATCCTACCACCTTCCTCACAGGGTTGCTGTGAGGACCAGGTGAGTTCATATGTGTCATTAGAACAGGGCGCGGCAGTATTAGCTACTGGATCCACCCCCCCAATCTTTTTACAATGAAGGGGAAGCTCAGAGAAAGTCTCTTGCTCAGGGAGGCACAGCTGGTAGCAGGGGCCCTGGGACTGGAGCTTCACCTGTTAGACCCCGCGGGTTCATGGTCTCCCACATCACGCCCTGAGTGGATATTGGGGTGAACTGAGTTGAGCCATGAGATGTCTGTAGGACCATTTCCATGCCAGGGCCTGGCTCCAGGTCAGCTGCAGCAGGGAGTCGAGGGGTCTGTGGATTTGGTGATGAGGGGCTTGGAGGACCTTAAAAAAAGCAGCTTCAGATCAGAAGCCCGGAGGGAGGCAATCAGGCTAATAGTGCAGAAGACCTGGTCAGGATACTGGTTGGCAAGGGAAAAGAGACGAAGAAGTCGGTGGCTCCAAAGAGATGGAAGGGCTGGGAGGGTCCACAGAAGGTGGGTGTGACTGTTCCAGGTAGGAGGTCTCTGGAGCCCAGCCCCAGGCTTCTGCGCAGGCGACCTTCCCTCCCTTCACAGCCCAGGGGCAGCTCCTGATTCTACCTCCTGCGCCCCCCTCCCCAACCCTTTTGTCTTCCTGCCTTACCTGCCTGCCCCAGCTTGGGCAGCCATGGCCCCCTCCTGTCCCCGTCCTCATTCCCATCCTAGTCACCAGCTCCAGGGTGTGTGGGGAGGTCTCCCACATGTATCTCCACACTCCAGTGGGCGGGCGAGAAGGAGCAGAGAAGAGAAACGCTGAGCCGCGGTGACAGGAATGACATTTTGACTTGAAAATTGCCAGAGAAGAAATGGCAGAGGCTGTGTGGGCACGGGCAGGGCCCAGGCACTTTCCTGGGTGACCTTTCTAGGCTGGTAGGTGGCTGGGGTGGGGGTGGGGAGGCTGGGAAATCACAGGGGGACAGCTTGTGCCCCTGGCCCCGATCTGGCTCCTGGCTGCCCCTCTGTGTTGGCAGGGCAGGCTGCCAGGATGCGGCCAGCAGGCACGCACGGGGAGTGGGCAGGGACGCTGGACTGGAGCCCAGCGGGGTAAGCCAGTCCGACACTTTCAGTTTGCAAAGCAGGCTCGTGGATTCAGACTGGGAGAGCTGCAAGTGTCTAAGAGATTGTCTAAGCCAGGGGCCTCACTTTCATGGCCTTTAATGCCAGGGCAAGCTGTGGAAACTCTCCTGCGAGACATACATCTATTCATTAGTTGGTTCCAAAAAAATATTTAGCGAACGCTTACTCAGTGTCAGGCACTGGTCTGGGCACCAGAGATAAACCAGTGATCCAGGAAGACCAAACAAACCCTTGCCTTCACAGAGCTTGCGTTTCACCGACAAACCGTACAAATAAATAAGGAGAAACATAGACTGTGTCAAATGTCAAATGATAACAGGTAAAATGGAAAAAAAGCATGGAAGGGGACAAAGGGGATGTCAGAGACAGGGGACCGGGGGTTAAATAAATTTTATATCAAGGCGGGTGCTTTTATCAAATGGGTGACACTTGAGTAAAGACCGAAAGGAAGTAAGTGAGCCATGAACATGGGAATCTGGGGAGATAATGCTCCAGGCAGGGGAACAGCAAATATATGAAAGTCATGCACCAAGTTCACCCCGATTTTAGGGGTTCACAAACCCTTAAATCCCATCCACAGATCCTTCCGCGGATCTCAGATGAGGAACATCTGACAGCAGCCAACTCCCTGAGTTTATAGGGGAGGGGTCAGCTTACTCAAGGTCACACAGAGAGGAGGCTAGGGGGGCAGAACGCATTATCTCCTGACACTCCCCACCTGCCCCTGGGAATCTCTCTCAACTGTCACCAAGAAATGGCCACCTGTCTGGGCGGCTCAGTTGGTGAAGTATCTGCCTTCAGGTCACAATCCCAAGGTCCTGGATGGAGCCCTGCTTTGGGCTCCCTGCTCACTGGGGAGCCTGATTCTCCCTCTCCCTCTGCTCCTCCCCCTGCTTGTGCACGCTTGCTCGCTCTGTCTCAAATAAAAAAATAAAATCTTTAGGGGAAAAAAACGGCTGCAGGTAGTGTCTGGATGCTGCTAGTGACAGGGAGCTCATCGCCTCCTGAAGCTCTGGCTTCCACTGTGAGGCAACCGCAGAGGTTAATCGGTTGGCCCCTCTGTTGACCTGGATTCTGCCTCCCTCGGTTGGAGCCTGACACCTTCCGTCTCTTCTTCACCAGGTTCACCATCTGCCACAAGACCGAGGTCATGAAGAACACCTTAAACCCAGTTTGGCAAACCTTCTCCATTCCTGTGAGAGCACTCTGCAACGGGGACTACGACCGGTGAGATGAGACACTGTCCCTCACAGGTGTAGGGGGTAGGGGGTAAGGTGTAGGGTAGAGGTGCTGGCTGTCTGGGCAGTGGGGGCAGAGCCCCCCAGAGCTGTGCTGTTCCTGCCCCTTGCCTCCTTGGGCAGTGTCTGCCTCCATTCCCCACCCCGCCCCACCGCCGTCCCCCTGGTCTGGCAGCCCACTGCTGGTGGGGGACCTGCCCAGCCTGGGGGGATGGGAAGCCAGGAGCTTCTGCAGCCTGTCTGTGATTTCCAGTGGAGGGGCGGGTGGGGGCAGGATGGGGGCTCTCGATGCAGGCAGAGGTGGCCATGCCAGCCCCAACTCCTAGTAGATGGACTCTGGGGAGTCAGGATCCCAAGATAAATGGGGTATGAGGGGCAGAGTACGGAGAACTCGTGAAACTTTCTTGATGTGCGGCAGCCCATCCTAATCGCATGTCTGTTGGCTCTCACCGTCATTGTTTGAGTGTAGGTTCTTGGGTGTAGGTACCGGGGACCTGGTTTCTAACTCTGGCTCTGGGAATAGAAAGCGCTGTCAACCTGGGCAAGCTTCGACCTGCCTGAGCCTCAGTTTCCTTATCTGTAGAATGAGTTTTAAGCATCCACCTACCTTCAAGGGCTGTTTAGAAGCTCCCATGAACTTCAACCTACGCAAGAAAGCCCTGGTTTGCATAAAATACCAAATCCCGCATTTTGTCCACAAACATTTATTGACTTACCACCGTGTGCTGGGCACCGCGCTAGATGCTGGGAACTCAGCAGGAGACCAAACACGCCGTCTTCACCCTTCGCCCAACCTTGTGGAGTTTACATCCTTGTGGGGGAGGCAGACATGAATCCGATCACCACACAAAGAAACAGATAATTGCATGTTGTGCTGAGTGCCGGGGAGTCGGGGGCAGTAGGATGGCATTGGTCTGTGTGAAGTTTCGAGAACCTGGCCTGTTTTCCCGTTGATCGCTGTTGCTGGTGGATGAGCTGCCAGATGGGATGGGACATGGGCCCTCTGCAGGCCATCCGGACAGGAGCACTGGGGTATCACAATGGACCCTGCAGGGGATCCTGGCTGATGCCGTTGGCAAGGGCTCCCTGGGACTCTGCTCACAGTGTCTCCTGACTGGGTACATGTTGCGGGGAGGAGTGGGAAGGACAGTGCGGATGGCCTTCAGACATCCCTGTCTCCCTCCAGGAAACCCTCAGGTGGCCCTGTTAGGTTGCTGATCCAGGAGATGAGGTGACTCCTTCTCCTGCCTCTTAGCTGGGACAGATCCGCCAGTCTGTTCCACAGGCGGTCGCTGAGTACCTACGATGTGTGCTCAATGCTTCGCCTGCAGCTGTGTGGCTTTCAAGGGAATATAGCCACGTTTCCATCTCTAGGGAGCCTCGAGGCTGACCACAGGGAGCTCAGATGTGCACACATCTGCATTTTAGATAGGTAGATAATTGTGCAAAATGAGACTGGAGACAAAAATAGACATTCCAGCCAAATGAAGCCCGGTTACATGTCTGGCCAGTCCTGGGGCTTCCGGGGGCTGTGGAGTGGAAGGACGGTCTGGTTGGAGCAGGAGGGTGAGAAGGAGACTTGGGGAAGGCTGGGAGGTACGGTGGGGGGGTGGTTCTGGTTGCTGGAAGAATGGTTGGGATAGCAGAGGTGACAGGGAAGGAGGGGCAATTGGAGGTTGGGGGATGGGAGAGCGTAGCAGTTTAAGTCTCACAGGGTGGGAGGAATTGGCATCTCTGGCCTCACTACCCAGAGGCTGTTGGGGGCCCAGCCGACCCCTGACAATCCTGCACCCTGAGAACCTAGCCTTGTCAGGGACAGTGAGGAAGGCAGTTGGGCTCAGACAGCGGGGCTCTCCGTTCAGCCACCAGTGGAAGTGAAGTTACGGGAACACCTCCAGAGCCCGCCCCCATCCCTCCTCTTGCAGGCTGAGCCCCAGACTGGTTTCCCTCCAGCATGACCAGGCAGCCCAGGACCCTCTCCACAGCCGGGAACAGACTGACCGTGACGTGACTGACAGTGGTGTTAATGGAGGGGGCCAGGCCTGTCACGCGGCCCCTCTGCCACTGAGCTCTAGGGTGACCTATGTACCCAACAGCCACTTGGGAGGTGCAAGTGTCTGGAAGGCCCTCACAGGGTAGGAGAGGGAGGGGTTTGTGCAGGAAAACAAAGCCATTTCCTTCTCCCCCCAAGGTACCTCTTAAAGCTCACAAAAATACATTCAGTTTAATCTAGCAGCCGTGTCTTCCAAGCCAGCCAGGCAACGGACATGCTGCTGGGTGCTGTGGGCATAGTGGACATCAGATCTGAGCCTCCCCGTTAGGTTACTCCCAGGCCAGAGTGGGAGACAGGTCATAGTAATATGGTAGTAGTAGTAGTAGTAGTAGTAGTAGTAGTAGTAGTAGTAGTAGTAATAGTAGTAGTAGTAGTAAATGCTCTTGTAGCACTTCTGTGGTCATTTATGTATGTAAGCTAATTTCATTCTTCCAACAATTTCCTCTGAAAAAGGTGCTAATACTATCCACATTTTACAGGTAAAGAAACTGAGGCCCAAAGACGTTAACAGCTCACCTAGGATCTTACTGCCCATCAGTGGTAGAACCAGGATTTGGAGCCAGGCAGGCTGCCTAGAGAATTTGTATTCGTGTCCCTTGTGCTCTGGGGCTAAATGGCTAAGACGGGTGTGAGTGGGGCACATTTGGTGGAGGGCTTGACCAGGGACTTGGGGCAGGTCTGCTTGGAGCCTGGAGGTGAAGACTTGAAGGCCTGGCCATCTGCCTACATCTGGGAGTAAAAGGGATTTAGAGGACATTTGTGTTTGGAGCTGAGGTTGAGAGGGAGAAATGGAAGAGTGACAGGGACCCTGAGGGGGCAGCTGTGTGACAGGCACGGTGGTGCTCTGCCATGCAGAGAGGAGAACAGAGAGCTGGCAGAGGTGAGATGTCCCAGGTCCTGCACAAGTAGGGAGCAGGAGAGAGACACGGAGATGGTCAGAGAGCTAGGAGGGTACTGGGAGAGGGCAGCTGGAGGCAGAGCCCTGGGCTCAGGGAAGAATCCAAATAGAAGTATCAACTCCTCCCATGAAGGAGAGAGCTGGGAGGGCGAGAAACAGGGATCTGTGAGGCAGGAGAGTTTACTTGGAATGAGGGGGTGGAAACCCTTAAGATGACTGAGTCTTTCAGAGTTGGGTCAAATTGTGCCCTAATTGGTTTAAATACATTATCCTATTTTGTGAATTTAAGTTTCACAGCAACCCTAGAAGCTGGGTTCTAAGGACATGCCCATTTCACAGATGGGGAAACAGAGAACTAGAGCTTATGTATCTTGCCCAAGGAAGGAGAAGGTATATTTCCCTTCTCCAGAAACTGCCTTCTCTAGAGGCAGAGGTCCACCCCATCTTTGCTGTCTCCAGTTCAAATCCAAGCGAGCCAGCTGGGCAGAGCTGGGGACAGCGGGGCTGGCGTCAAGATCAGAGGTGGTCCAGCCCTCCCGTGGGGTGAAATGGGTGATGACAAGAAGCCCTTCCCCAACCTTTCCTGAAACCCCTCTGCTCTGGCCTTTGGCATTCTGCAACTTGAGGATCTATTCCCCCTTGAGCCAGCCAGATTCTCCCGCTCAGGCTGCTGTCCCTCACTCACACCTTAATGTTGAATGTGTGGATGTGAAGAGGGTAAGTTTACTGGGCCGTTCCCTGGAGAGGGGAGACGATTCCCCAGGACTGGGGGCTCTCACATCCCAGAAGCTACACACTTCTGTGGGCCTGCTGGAGAAGGGAAATACATCGCCCTTGAACCCTACTGCATGCTGAGTCCTGGGAGGGGGCCCAGCCACTGCATATGACCAGCTGACACACGTAGAAGCTGAAGGCAGAGGAGGGAAAGCCTCTGCAGTGTGGCTGTGCTTACACAGAGCTCCATCTTTCAGCATTGCTGCCTGTCCCCCTGAACCCCAACACCCGTCTTCTTCCCCGAAGCCTCTAAGACTGATGGGCTGACTCAGTCAGTTTAGGGCCAACCCCTGGAGACCTGTTAGCCTAGTACCTCTTCCTGCCCTGGAGAAGCTCATTAGGAGAGAGACACAGCTCTGCTCCAAGGAGACTGTAGATAGAGCTGTCGGTGTGCAGGTGTTCAGAGAGAGAAGCCTGCAGTCTTTGCTGGCCTCCCTTGGCCCCGCTGGCCTGCTAAGGCTCACACAGACCCAGCTCTGTCCCCGCAGCCCCAGGCATCCAGAGACCCACAGGACACTGGCTCCTGGCCCCAGGCCTGGCTTCACAGCTTGATTTGGGGAAAGCCTCCCCCCCGCCCCCCCACCCATGCGCCAGGCTTCCCTTCATGATTTTGTGGAAGGAGGGAATTGTCACTGCATGGTAACTGCACAGAGTTGTGAGATCTCAGACGACAGATATTTAATAATATTTATATTACCTACTATATGCCAGGCACCGTTCTAGAAGCTGAAGTTTACAGCAGGGAACGAAACAACCCACATTTCCTGGTCTCAAGGAGCTGACGTTTTCATGGTGAATAGCAATTGCTTGGGAGACAGGGACTTGGATGAAAGGCTGGAGTGTTTTAGATGGAGCAGAACATGTGTCCAGTCCTGGTGTGAATGACATGTGAATGATGTAGTTGACTTCTCAGAACGCCAAAGTGGGTGTGATGATCCCATTTTACAGAGGGGTAAACAGAGTCCCTGGGGCCTTTGAGATGGCTGGGCTGAGTTTGCACAGGAATCTCACCCCCGGAAGTCTCAACCTCAGCGGCAAGTTAAAATTCCCCAGGGAGTTTTTAATACGCCCCCTGCCCAGGCTGTACCCCAGACCAACTGATTCTGAACTGCTGGCGTCAGGATTGCTAATACGTGCCCGGGATCCAGTGTGCAAATGATGAGGGGAGCCCAGCGCTCTCCTCTAGAGAAGGTTGGTGGCTCTGGCCAGGCATTCCAATCAGCCAGGAGACGTTCCAAAACTACCCAAGCCTGATTACCATCCAGACCAACTGAATCAAGCCCTTGTGCCCTGGGATTAAAAACAAGAAACAAACAAAACCCAAAAACCTCCTTAGTGATTTTTGGGGGTATCCAAGGCTGTGGCTGTAACTGGGGTCCTCCTGTAGTTTCTGAGCCTGTGGCTGTCACTGATCCAGTCGCCTGAGTGGCTGGTGTTGGTGGTCTCAGGAGAGACACTCCTTGCTGGGGTCCCCGAAAGTCCCCTACAGAGCCGTATGGGTCTGGGAAGGACTGGGTGACTTTGGCATTGTGGGTCAGGGTCCTGGCTCCGGCCCTGGCCAGCTCTGTGACCCTGGGCACATCCCTTAGGGCTTGGCTTCCCCAGCTGAAAATGAGTGCGCGCAGCAGAGCCGTGGGGGGGGTGTGTGTGTGTGTGGAAACTTTAAACTAGATCCCAGGCTCTGCCCAGAGATGCCAGGAACCGGACCTGGGGCTGTGTATGTCTGACAGGCTCGGTGGTGATCAGCTACATGGCCAGGCTTGGATACCTTGTCATTCCAGGCCTTGTCATTCCAGGAACTGGAAGTTGCAGAGCCCAGGTACCCAGGCGGGAGCGTCCCTGATTTAAGTAAATTTCCTATGAAAAGCAATCCAAGTGTGGCCAAATGCCAGAGTGGAGAGGAGGAGGCATTTTTACGGAGACCCACCTGTGCGCCCCGTGGGCTCTGCCAACTCCACTAGTATCCTTCCTTGAAAAGGATGGTCTGTGGCTCAGAGAAGTTCAGTGACCTCTCCAGGTCCCGCAGCATCTGCACTCCAGCCTCTTTCCTCTCTTTCCAATCACCAGCCCCTCCCCGCCACTTCAAGGACCTAGATTTTTTTCTAGATTTTTTACCCCACGATTCACTCCAGAGAGAGACACAGTATTTTGTTTTTCCTAAGAATTTAAGAGGATTCCTTGAAATGACGGACTTCCATGCCTGCCCCATTTACCTAGATGGTCACAAAAATCCGGGGTGGTGCACGACCTCCCAGACGTTCCTCCATGGGGGGACAGTTGGTGCCCTGCGGCGGGCAGATTCGAACCCCCCCCCCTCCGGCCCCGGGAAGGCTCATCTACGGGGAGACAGCGCCTCCTGCTGGGGGCCGCGCCACCCCGAGGCCGATTTCTCGAAGACCCACAAAGACGGGCTGCGGCCCCGGGCGAGATGATCTATAACTAGAAGACAGGCCCAGGCAGCTGTCTCTGCGAGCCCCAATTCGGACCGAGGCTGGAGACCCCGGCTCCCCACGCCTCTGGTTCCACCCCCGCCACCACCACCCCGATCCTGAGCCTGCAGGGAGACCCTGGCAGCTGCCCCTTCCCTGGGCCTCCCTGGAGGACTACCGGCACCAAGGGTTAACCCGCGGTCTTCCACCTCCCTCCTCCCACCTCTGGTCTGCTAGCCTGTTGCCATGGAAACGGGCTAAAAATAAAATGGGCTCCCAAAGCCCAGCCCCCTGCACAGGAGTCAAAACAAACTAATTAAAGCAGCCAGGCTAAAATATGAAGATAATTACACCCTCACTCAGGAGCCAGTCGTGGCAATGGAAAAGCTCAGCAGGCCATTCCTGACCTCGGGAGGTCCTGGGCCCCTCCCTGCCGGTCTGTGCTGGTTCCCCATTGCTCAGACTCCTCGGACTGGGGTCCCACCAGCTCCTAGTCTTGTTACCCCTCCCCAGGAGAGCGCAGTCGCTCTGGCCTGAGATCCCAGGGTCTCACCACTGTCCCCCCCACCCTTGATAAATCCGCACTATGGCTTCTTCCTGGGACCTGTGTCCCATCTGGGGTGGCCAAGGAGAAGGTGGGGTGAACTGAAGTCTGAGACTGTTTTTCCACATCCTTCCTGAAACTCAGGCAAGTCCCTAGGCAGCTTTGAGGATGCCTCTGTCCCTAAGACCTTTACTAAAGGGCCTGAAGATAGTTCCTTTGTCTCTGGGGCTGTTGTGTGTCCTTTGAGGGCCCTAGAGCCTGGTGGCTGTCTCAGCGCACCTTTCTGGCCCAGGAGCATGGGAGGGGCCTTGTCTTCCCGGCCACGCAGGTGTGGGGTCAAGCCCACCCCACCACGGGCCCTTTGCCTTGCAGGACCATCAAGGTGGAGGTGTACGACTGGGATCGGGATGGCAGGTAAGCAAGCAGGAGGACAGAAGGTGAGCGGGGATGAGAGCAGCCCCAAGGGGTGGTTGGGCCCTCCCCTCAAAGGGGGAGAGCGATGCCAATGGCAGCTCTGGGGGTGAGGGAGCCTGGTTTTCCAGGGTCGTCGGGGTCCATTGCCCCAGTGGATTGTCCCTGCCCCGCTTCTGTGAGGCACCAGAGGATCTCGGTCCTGCATGACATGGTTCCAGAGGCACGGGAGGCCTCTTTTCCTCAGATAGCCACCTAGCAGACAGCCAGTGCCTAAAACCTCACCACATTTGGGAGAATTAGGATTTTCTGAAATGTGCCTCTTCGAATGTACAGATTCAGGTGACCCCGAGCATTCATGTTCTCCGTGAGGCTAAGTGCTGTGGGTGACCGAGATGGGGAAGACAAGCTCAGTCCTCAGAGAGACTCCTCCGAGTCTAATTGTATGTGTGTGTGGGGGGGCTGGTGCATCAAAGGAACTGTTTGTAGGGAGCTGGCCCTGAGGGGGTGGGCTATGGGGAAGGGTAAGCTTTGATGCACACGAAGGGTCCCTGGAGCCATGAGGCTGTCCCTGAGTTGGGTCAAGCCGGGCCAGGAGGAGGACACTTCCATTTGGGTTGTGGGAGGCCCCAGTACCCTCCCTGTCTGCAACTGGAAGGGCCCCCATGGAGCAGTGTCACTGGGAATTCATAGATGAGGACAAGAATGGGCCTCTCTTGGCTCTACTCCAGAAACCTCACAGGCTTCCACTTGTCTGTGGGACCACACCCAATATGTCCTCTGGACTTTTGGGACTCCCTCCATTCTGTGGCATTACGAGGGGTGTTGTAAGGGGACTTTTACCCCGTAATCTCCATCCATACCCCTCAAGTCTGTGATGCCAATAGGGGGTACTGTAAAGGTCTATGCAAACAGAACTCAAGGTAGATCCTGGACGGTCCAGGTGGCTCACCTTCCCCTGAGGCCTTCTGGGACAGGATTCCAGTGCCACTGAACCTCTGTTAACTCGCTCTGTCCCCCGTCCTCTCCTCTTTACCAGTTCCATGTTTCCTCTTACCCCAGAGCTCCCCATACTTCTCCTTCACTGGGAAAAACTGGGGATAGCCACCAGCTCTCATAGCATCCTGCCATCAAGGAGCTTGTAGTCTGAGTCCCGAGAGTTATAAATACATAGTCAAAATCCAGAGTGGCCTCCAGGCAGAGGCAGGCTCCAGGGACACCTCCCAGGCCTCACTCTCCAGCTGCTCTGGAGGTCCCCCCCAGGCTGCCTCTTTCGGGGGTGGTGACCCCGAAAGGCAGCCAGATGTGGGAGAGATGGTGAGCGGGGTTCTTCTGCGGACAGGTGTTGCTGCTCTTAACAGGAACACACACTTGAGGGGGCAGAGTCCCAGAAAGTGTGGCCACCACAGAAAATCTCCAGCTACCTCGATGGACATGACGCAAATGGTCTTTTCAAAGACTGTTACTGGAAAAATGGCAAATACACAGAAAAAGAGGAGTCTAATGAAGGAATTTAAGCCTATCATCTGAATTTAACAAGTGTTACATGTTGCCACATTTGCTCTATGTTTTGCTGCTGTAGTTTAAATTACAGACATCAAGGCATTTCTACCTCTAAATATCTCATTGAGAACATCTAAAAAATAAGGACATTTTCCTACAGAACCATGAATGCCATTATCACACCTGACACGTTGAACAATAATTCTTGAATGCCGTCTAATATTCATTTCATATTTAAATTTCTCCTGTCCTCCCTGAAAGACCCGGCCCTGCCGGTTTTGTTCAAACAAGACTCCGAGTAGAAATGGGCCCCCTTCCCTGGGGCCCTGCTCTTGGCTAGGTGACTGCTGGCTTTCCCGCTCCACAGGGAACACGGGGCTCTTCCCAGGGGCCCAGCCTGTGTGCTGGCGTGCACCCCTGGAGTGGAGGCCCCGGGCAGAATCGGGAGCCAGGGGCAGGGGTGTGAGAGGCAGGGAGATGGGCAGAGGCAGTACCCAGTGTGGGCCACTGTCTCACAGAGACCTTCTCTTGCAGCCATGACTTCATTGGGGAGTTCACCACCAGCTACCGGGAGCTGGCCCGCGGACAGAGCCAGTTCAACATCTACGAGGTGAGGTGGACACCGGAAGTCCGGGATTTGCTCTGATTATACCCAAGTTCCAGCCACCGAGGACTACTGCGGGCCATGTGCTGGGCTGGGGTTTTCTCTTGTTCTCCTGGGATGTGGCTCTTATTGTCTGAGTCTCAGAGAAGCAAGAGAATTTGCCCAAAGACACGTGGGTCAGTAAGTGGCAGAATCAAGAGGCAAACAATGTCGGCTTGCCTGGCTCCCCGAATCATTGAGTTACAGTGTCCCCACAAAGCGTTCTTCCAACAAGATGGGGGAGGAGGGGTTCCAGTGGGACAGAAGGTGGGGGTTGGGGAGACCCAAGGTCCTGAGTTCAAGGTGGCTCTCTGCCTTCAATCAGAACAATTTCAGGGCTTGCTGAATATCTTACTGTTTCTGGAAGGGAAGAAACAGAGGAACAGGACGTAGGTAGCCTCCATCTGGATCTGGACAACCTGGACAAGCCTCTCCCCACCCTGCCAGTTTTTCTGGAGATAATAGTGCTTGCCCTCCAAGGACAGTTTCTGCCGCTGAGTCTTCGCCTGTGTGTGCTCACCATCCCGGGATGCCCTCCCAGCTTCCAAATTTAGCTTGAGTTCCAGCTCCTCCGGTGGCCTTCCCAGCACTCTGGTCTCGTGCTTTCTTCCCCATGTGAGCCTCATGGACAGTACAGTCTGTGCTAGACCCACTTAACCGCAGATACTTTTTCTTCTTCTTCTTTTTTTTTTTTTTTTAAAGATTTTATTTATTTATTTGAGATAGAGAGCAAGAGAGAGCACGAGCAAGGGGAGGGGCAGAGGGAGAGGGAGAAGCAGACTCCCCACTGAGTAGGGAGCCCAGGATCATGACCTGAGCCGAAGGCAGACGCTTCACTGACTGAGCCACCCAGGGGCCCCAACCACAGATATTTCAAACCCTAAAAACTGCCTGGGTTCATACCCTGCTGCTACCATGGACTGGGTCTGTGACCTGGGTTATGTTTCTGCACCGCTCCGTGCCAGGCCCACTCAGAGTGAAAGGAGTCACTAGGACAGTGTCTGGCCCCTAGTGAGCATGACGTCACTGCTGTCTTCCAGCATCTTCTATGGAGGGCAAGGAGAGTGACATCTCACAACAGCCCTAGAGATGGGCTCTCTCCCCACAGGAGCAGCCACTCAGCTAGTGACATTGAGGAGTCAGTTTTGACTCCCATCGCAGAGTCTGCACCACTCCATACTCTCCCTCCTTCACCCCAGGTCTCTGTTCTGAGTGGGTGGGTCTCGAGTTCCGCTGGACGGGAGCTCCCTGAGGGCAGACTGGGGGGACAGCCCTTCCTGGGGCCTCCCTTCACAAGGGTTTTGCAGTGCCTGTGTGCACCCAGTAGGTGCTGATGGTCCGAGCATGTCCTGAATTCAGTTGAACGAGGCCATTGTAATGATGGATGGAGCGTGGGTGCATTTCTTTGAAAGGGCTCCTATCCTCACAGTTAATTGCTTTGTTTTCTGCATCAGAAAAGGGAAGGGCTGTCTTTGTTCCCGCACCTAGGCAGTGTGTGTGTGTGGGGGGGAAGCAGGCTCCAGCCTTCTCTGGCTGCCTTTAAGATTTTTAGGGAAGGGATTCTCTCTCAGGGTTTGGCTTTTAAGAGTGCTTGACAGGCTCAGAAGAGGCTGTGATCTCTCAAGCTAAAAGCGGGAAAGGTTGGATTGACTCCTCTTCTTCACTGGAAAACGCCATTGGGTAGAAAAGGAATGAAACTCTGGCAGTCCAGGGGGTGGGAGGGGAGGCAGGCCTTGCCCTGTGGGTAGTGTCACTGGTAGGCCTTACTAGAGTCCAGACTGCCTGAGGAGAGAACAGGCTTCTGCTGGGAAAAACCCTCATCTTGGGCCCTGGTGTCGTCACCCTGGGTGTCTGACTCGTATGTCCGACCCGCCACTGCTCGGACTCAGCCTTCCCAGACTGAAGGCACAGGCTGAAGCCTCCCCACAGCTATCCCCTCTCCCTGGCCAGCTGGCTCCTTCTCCTGGGCTGCTATCATGGCAGCCATGGCGCCTGGGAGTCATCCTTGACACCTCCTGTCCATCCCCCCACACCCACTCCACTGAATCCCACTCCTCCTTCCGTCCACGGACTCTGACATTTGTTCCCTTCACTCTCATCCACCCCCACCGCCATCATGTCACCTGTATGGAGGTGGAGGGGGCTTTGCAACAGCCCCCTAATGGCCTTCCCCCCCCTCCTTCCGTCCTCCACTCAGAACTCCAAGGCCTCCTCCAAAATGGTAAACTGATCACATGGCTTCCCTGCTTAACCTTTGGCTAGGCAGCCTACCCACTGCCTGGCTGGGATTCACACAGAGGGGCGGAGAGGAGGTTCAGAATGATGCCCCCACCCCAGCTGAGATCCTGCAGGGCCCTTTACCTACAAGGTGGAGTCCGAGCTCCTCCCCATGGGCACCATGCACCACCAGCAGCCTACAGTCTGTGGCAACCAGTGGGTGTGTATGAGCAGACCCACACCTCCCACCCCTAGCATGCCCCTGGGGTCTTGCCCTGGCCCCTTCCTTCTGCTCACCACCACTGGTAGCCCCATTATGTTCTCCGAGGCTCTCTGAACCTCCCTCTGGCTCAGTTCTGTGCTTCATTCCATGGTTCTCTCCTGGGGCTCCCTTTGCTCTTTTTCATTTGGTTGGGCCTTTGGATCCTTGGGGACTCCCTTTGGGTATGATTCCTCCTCCAAGAAGCCTTCTCCGCCCGCACACTCGCTCTACCCACAAAGTCTGGCGTAAATACCTCTCCTCCCTGCTCCCTCCCATGCCTCTCCCATGCCCCTGGCTATTATTACCTGTTTATCCTACTTCTCACCCCCTTAAAGACCATGAGGTCCATAAGGGTGGGGGGTGTTTTCTCACTTACTATTGTATTCCCGAAGCCGGCACAGGTCCTGGCCCCTGGGAGCAGCTCTGTGGCTTGCTTGCACTGGAGGGCCTACCCCAGACCTACCTGGAGGCCTTAGGACCCCTGGGGGTGTGAGAAGAGGGAAAGGAGAAGGCTGAGCTTTCCAGCCTGGGAGTTGGGAAGTTCCTGGCCTGGCCCCCAGGGGGCGACAGTGCCCTACGTGGAACTTCAGGGTGTGGCCCCGAGAGGCTAGTTGGTGGGGGTGGGGATGTGAGCTGGGAGTGCTGGAAACCTCAGAATAAACAGGGCGTTTCTTCAGTGCCCACTTCACATGAGGATCTGAGAACAAAACATGGCTTTAATATTAAAACAGTTATAATTAGAGAGTGGAAATGTGGAATACAGGCTAATTTAAAGTTAACACAGAAGACTTCAAAGAAATGTGCTTGTGGCCAGGTCTTTGGGCGACACCCAGACCCCCAGGAGGCCATGTTTATTCTCCTCAGCTGGGAGGGCTACTTGGGAATACAAGTTTGAGATGTATTCAGTTCTCAAAGTTCCACATCCTCATGGGACAGATTGGGACACTGAGGCACTGTGCGGCATTGAACTTTTCACAAAGCTGTCTGTGAACACCACATCATCAGGGTGGCCTTCATGTCTGTGGGGGCTCTGAGATTGTTCTGGGCTTCTCTCCCCGGGTGCACGATTTCCACCTGCAGAACTTGACAGCTCTCCTCACCTGAACTTCCCACCTGAGCCCCCAAATCCAGCTCTTCCTTCTGTCTATGTGGTTACCCCTGACCCCTTTCCCTCCAGCCCCCGCAGCCATGCCCTGGGCCCGAGGTCTGTGGTCACTTCTTGACAGTGCTGTTTTGACATAGCTCAGTACCTGTTCCAACAACCCCCAGGCCCTCATTACCTCTTACCTGGACTCGTGGAGGCGGCAGGAGTGGTAGTAGTAAAAATTGATAGCTGCTGACACTTAAATAGTGTTCACTACATTCCAGACCATGTCCTAAACGCTTTACTTGTATTGACCTATTGAATACCCAAACCTTTCTATAAGGTAGGTACTTTCTATTCCTATTTTATAGATGAGGAAACTGAGGCACAGGGAGGTCAGGTAACTTGCCTAGGGTCACACAGCCATTAGGTGGCAGAACCGGGCAGGTAGACATGCCCCTGATGTCTCTCCTTCTCCCCTCATACTCATCTCTGCCAGGTCCCGGCATCCTAGAGCCTGCTGTGATCACGGCCCCCTCCTAGCTTAGAGGTCATCAGAGTTCCCTGCTGGCTGCTGAGTGTTGTTCAGACATTAACTTGGCACTCTAGGCTCTCTTCCAGCCAGCCCAGTTTGCTTTTCCACCTTGCGGTTCTGCTGTCCTGTTCTGCAACTGTCTCCTCTCCTCCAAACTATCTCCTCGGACTGGAATGCCCTCCCTCCAGCTCCCCATGCCCAAACCCTTCCTGCCGTCAGCACCTGCCATCAGTGCCACCTGTCCTGGGAAGCCTTCGCGGATGCTCAGCGGCCGGGAATGGTCCTTCCTTCCTCCAACTCCTTTCACGTTTCTGGCTCCCTGTTTTTGGTGCCTCTTGCCCTCTGTCTCCTGAGGACATATCTTTCTCCAGCTGGAGTGAAGATTCTAGAAGAGAAGAATTGGTGTCCCCCACTCCCACCCATAAGTATTTGTCAAGGAATGTGTTCGTATTTGTTGTCAAGGTGGCACCCAGGTAGGCAGCACTGACCTTAGGGCAGGAACCTGGTTTCTAATTTTGTCACTACGCAGAGCCCTGTGTAACCTTGGGGAAAAGGCTTCTGTCCCTGGGTCTTAGTTTCCTGATCTCCAGGAATGGATATTAACACTCATTCAGACAGAAGAGGCCTCTGCTGATGACAAAGCCGGCCACCCCCTGCAGAAGAACAGGGGATGGGGGGCAGGGGCCATGAGTTCACCAGAAGCCTAGAGAGGACAGAGAGGGTGTGAAAATCAACCTTGCTTCCTTTGATGGGAGATGAGGACAAGGTTGGGCCTGAATGTCCCCCGTGGAAACAAAAGACCCGGTGAGGCTTCTGGCCCATGTGAAAGGCCCTGGAAGGCTTACGGGGAAGAGGTCTCACTTCTCAGCCTCCACACTGAGGCTTCGAGTCCACATCTTGGACTCGAAGATTCTTTGTGTGTGTGGGGGGGGGGTTACTGCCCAGAGCATGGCATGGTGTTCAGCAGCGTCCCTGGCTTCTGTCTTCTCCCTGAGTCGTGACAGCCAAAGTGTCTCCAAACATGGCCAAATATGTGGGAGTGGTGGGGGGGAAGTTGAGATCCCTGCGTTAAGCACACCTACAAGCGATTTTTCAGCATGTACTAAATAAGTGCTTAGGTCTGGTTTGGAATGAAAGGTTTCACATGAGGAACAGTTAAGGAAGTTCTAACTGCTGTGTTGGGTGGGTGGGGGGGAGTGGTGAGGGGAGCCCCCTAGGCCTGAGGGCAGCCCTAGGGCTGGATCTCCAAGGAGGAGCAGGGAGGATGGGAACTGGTGAGGGGGGGAGGCATTCGGGGTGAGGGGAGCTGCCTGAGCCAACACACAAGGGCAGGCACAGACAGGGCCCCTTTGTGACATCGAGCCTCCTTTGGCAGCATTGGGTGGAGGGCGTGTTGGGGGAGCAGTGGGGAGGAAGGTTAAATAAATATTATTCCTGGTGTGTTTGGTTGTGGAACACTGGATCTAATCAGGAATGCATAAATCTAAATGCCAGTTCTCTCACAAAACCTCCCCGAAGCTTCCTCCCCCAGAACCCCCAGTCTTACACACCCCATTCTGCTTACTAAGGCTGGAGCCATACCCAGGGGTCGTTAGAAGCTCTGGGAGCCCACCCCTGACTGCTTGGAAATGCTCCTGACCTAGTACCTGTTTTCTCCTGCAGGTGGTAAACCCGAAAAAGAAAATGAAGAAGAAGAAATACGTGAATTCTGGCACGGTGAGTAGCCACGCCCCTCTCTGTAGCCGGGTGTGGACATCCTGAGTCCGGAGCTAGGTCTGCCCTGTCAGGAGTTGTGCGTGTCTGTGTGGGCTCGTGTGGGGTGTGGAAGCCCGACCTGGAGAGTTGAGGGTGGGAAGGGTGGGGCAGTTGGAGCCACAGCCCCGGGGTGGGGGTGGGCAGCCAGTGTAGATGGTAGATGGGCCACACCACAGGCACTGTGATACAGAATGAGAAATCCCAGAGAGGAATTCCCATGGGGACTTCCTGCAGAAAGGGAGAGGAAAAGGAGTCGTGTGCATTGGGCCCTTACTCTGTCTGGGAAATTCCCCACCGAGGTGCTTTTCACAGGTTGTTTCCTTGAGAGGCAGACATTATCATCCCCTTGTCATAAAAGAGGAAACCAAGGCTGCCAGCAGGGAAGTGACTCAGCTAAGGTCACAGAGCCAGAGATGCACAACCAAGGTCCTAGAGCGGAGACGGCAGTCAGTGCCTGTTTGCCATGACGATCCTAGGATTACACGAGCCACGCGGCATCTGGGGGGCTGCTCTTCAGGACATCCATGCATTTATCCAACAAACATTTCTTGAATGCTGCCATGTTCTAGGCATGAGGGTTATAGCTGGGAACAAGACAGACTCACATCTTTGCCTTTCTGGTACTTACATTTTAGTGGGGGAGACAGAAAACAAATACATATGCATACGTATACCTGTATTTTTCAGGTGGTTATAAGTGCTGTGGGAAAAAGTATAAGAAGGTAAAGGGTTGGGGTCTCTGGGTGGCTCAGTCAGTTAAACGTACGTCTTCGGCTCAGATCATAATCCCAGAGTCCTGGAATCAAGCCCTGTGTCGGGCTCCCTGCTCAGCGGGAGACCTGCTTCTCCCTCTCCCACCCTACCTGCTTGTGTTCCCTCTCTCGCTGTCTCTCTCTCTCTTTCTGTCAAATAAAGAAATAAAATCTTAAAAAAAAAAAAAAGAAGAAGGTAAAGGGTTGGGGAACGCCAGAGACAAAACTATTTTATATTAAGTAGTCAAGGAAAAGCTTTTCTCTGAGAAGGTGACATTTGAGCAGAGATTCAAAGGTGAAGGAGCAAGTATTGGGGCTACCGGGGAAAGAGAATTCTAGCTGTGGGGATCAGCATGTGCTGCAAAGGCCCTGAGGTGGAGGCCACGGTGCCTGTCTCAGACAAGCCAGCATCTTTCCCCTGCAACTATATTCAGAGCTGTACCCCTTCTGTCCCTCCTTACTGTAGCGGTCCAAAGCCCCAGCAGCTAATGGACCACAGTTAGTCATTGGATTTAAGCAAACTGCAACTCCAGACCTGGATGAGGCCCTAGTCAGGGAGCTCTGCGGCTTCCTCTGAGGTACCTTATTGTCTCCATCTGTAAAATGGGTTCATAACTCATCCCTACCCTGCTTACTGCACTGGCTGGCTATGACAGAGGGCTGGAAGTTCTCTGCTCACTCCAAGGAGACGAATTGTAATGGCTGGCAGACCCCGAAACTTTCCCACATATTCCCGTGCCCCTAGGGGAGGCAGCACTTTCCCCAGCTGAGAAATTCTGGATGTACAGCTCAAAAAAAAGAAGAAAAGCTTGAAAACCACTGATCTTCTTCAGTCTTCTTGAAGATAAGGAAACTGAGGCCCAGAGAGGGGACACGATTTGTCTCAGGCCAGTCTTCAACATAAAAAGTTAGTCAGTGTCCCTGATTTTTTTTTTTTTTTTTAAGATTTATTTATTTGAGAGAGAGAGAGAGAGCTCACATGAGCGGGAGGGGCAGGAGAGAGAATCTCAAGCAGACTCCCTGCTGAGCACATGACCTGAGATCATGACCTGAGCTGAAATCAAGAGTCAGATACTCAACTGACTGAGCGACCCAGGTGCCCCGGTCCAGGATGCTTATTAAAATGCATATGCCGAGTCTAGTTCCCTAGGGTTCCATTTTAGGAGGCCTAGGCTGGGGCCCAGGAAGCTGTGTTTAGTGCTTCTCATACCTTCCTTACTATGTGCAGAATCTTCTGGGGATCTTGTTAAAATGCCAAGAATCTGCATGTCCGCATTTCTTTCTTTCTTTCTTTAAAAAGATTTTATTTATTTATTTATTTATTTATTTATTTGAGAAAGAGCACAAGCAGAGGGGGAAGCAGACTCCCCACTGAGCAAGGAGCCCAATGTGGGGGCTCCATCAAAGGACCCCAGGATTATGACCTGAGCCAAAGGCAGGCACTCAACTGACTGAGCCACCCAGGCACCCCTGCATGTCCACATTTTTAACCCCCATCAGGATGCTGGTGCTGCTGGTGGGGGTCCAGGGACCACACTCTGAGCAGCAGGATCCTGGCTCAATCCATATGGTCTGGCAAGTTAGGGAATTACTTCATCCCAGGGCCTTGGGGTTCAACCCCAGCTGCAGGTTAGACTCATGCGAGGAGCTTAAAAAAGATCCAAGGCCAGAACCCTACCCCCAAAACTGATGTAACTGGTTTGGGTTCCCCACCCAGGCTGCAGGAGGTTTTCAAAGCTCCCCAGGGAGTCTGGTGGTCATTGGTCAGGGTAGAGGCCACAGCCATAATCTCCTCCTAGCAAAAGGAGGCTTTGTCCATCCAGGCGCCTAACACCCTAACCATGGCAGGTAGGGTCTCCAGGGCCCAGCACAGCACCCACAAACCCTCCCGTTATTTGGGCTGATGTCAAGCAGAGGCCCTCTCTGGCCTACCCAGAGAGTTTGTAAAGATAGCAGAGCCTGCAGCAGTAGGGAGTTCCCCAAATTCTAGGGTAGAACTCTCGGACACAGGTAAAGGTCTCCTGCCCCAGCCTTGCCCCATTTAATTGATTTTGGCAGCCGGGCTTTCACTTACTTGTCTTCACAATCCTAAATTATTATTGTAGTGAGCCGCCAGGCAGCTGCCTGTCTAGGCACAGTCAATGCCAAAGCCGTCAGGGGGCAGGGGTGAAAGGCGTCTGCTCTGGGGCAGGGGCCCCAGGTCGATTACCTCCCGGGAAAGAAAAGGCTGCTTATGAGGATCTTGGGTCCGAGAAGGTAGAGATCAAGAGACACCAAACAGGTGAGTTGGGACAAGTGAGACTGAAGATACAAGGACAGACCAAAGGGGCATGTTTTTCGGATGGATGGTTCGTGGGACAGGGAGCTCCTCAACATTGGCAGGTTGGTAGTGCCGTGTTGGGAAGACCCCCTCGCCTTCCACACTCCATGCCGGTGTCCACTTGGGGGAAACTCGTGCTCTTGGCTTGAGCCTCCATGCTTCGGGGACAGAGGGCGGGCCCTGTGGGGGTGCAGGTGGGGTCAAGGTCAAGAGGGCAGGCTCTGGAGTCAGACCTGAGTTCGCTTCTCACTCGGCCAGGTCCTGGCAGTGTCCTCGGGCACACTGCCTCCCTCTTTGAACCTCAGTTTCTTTGGCTAGAAAATGGGATAACCGTTGTGCTTCACAGGGTTGTGGGTACTGTATGCACTGGAGTGTGCAAAGCCGGTGGTGCTGCGTGCTCCTCACATGCAGCAAACCATCTCCCCGCTCTGAGCTCCCCACTGACCAAGCTTGCTCTTGTTTTCAAGGTCACGCTGCTTTCCTTTGCTGTGGAGTCTGAGTGCACATTTCTTGACTACATCAAAGGAGGGTGAGAAGAGATCCGGCCTGGTTTCTTTGGCTTCGGGGAGAGGGAAGGGGGCCCCACATATAAGCATGAGCAGCTCTGGCCTCTTTGAAGCTCTGGACATAGCCTGTGAGCCCTGAGCCAACTCTAGCATCTGGCTTCAGACAACTTGCCCAGAGCCCTGGATGCTTCTGGATCCTGAGTGGCTACAGAGGGTGCTCCTGAGCCATGGAGGCCAGCCTGGGTCCCATCTGTCCCCTTGCAGGGATGGGACCCCGAGGTGGTAGGGACTCCATGACAAAGAGAACGAAGGGCTTAGGGAGGCAGAGCTCTGGATGAGGAAATAGGAGGCCCAGGCTCTAGGAGCTTCTTAGCCATGAATTTGCTAGATTAGATTACTTGGAGCAGGTCACTTTCCTTCCCTGAGCATCAGTTTCCTCCTCTATACATGCAGAGATTGGAGTGAATTCTAATGGCCGTTCCTTCTCTGAGCTTCTGATGCCTGGTTTGGTGGGGGTGGGGGGCACTGATTAACCTGCCCAGTGACAGCAGGGACCACCTATAGGGGGCAAGAGGCGCTGGGGGATGAGCCATCAGAGGGTCCCACAGCCAACAGGTGGTCAAACATGAGCTTAAGGAGCAGAAAGAACCAGAAGGGCTGGCATCCAGGCCAAGGCAGGCAGGAGAGCCCGCAGGCTGTAGCCCACAGCTCATGGAAAGAGAGCCTGACTCCGAACTGAGGTTAGTGTGCTCTGTGCCAGAACAGGGGCCAGGTCAGGGTGTGGGGAGCCGAAAGCCCACAGGTGCAGGCAGGTGAGTGACTACACCTGTCTGGAAAGAAGACAGGCAGGACAGGTGCCAAAGGCTCATCCCAGCCAAGCGGGCACTTGGCTGCCGCCTTTTCCAGGGCAGAGGGAAAAGTCGGGCCCTGGGAAGCCACACGTACTCTCCCATGACACCACACCCTGCTGCCTCGAAACTGGTTTCCAGGTTGCAAACTCTCTTTCTACCCGCTGAATACACACCTCTTCACAGTCACCCGGGGGCCCCCACTGCCCCTACCTGCCCTTCCTTTGAGCCCACTCCAGACCCTGCCTGGGCTCCCTTCCCCCATCAAAACCGCCCCGTTCCCTCCCCCATGAAGCAGCCTGCACTTACATTCTAGAACACCTGCTAATTTTCAAACAGTGCACATCCTATTTATCCTTCTTCTTTGCAAGGCGCCCCTCATGTACAGAACCCAGTGGGCAGGGCGAGGATGATTATGTCCATTTTACATAACTTGCTGGTGGCCACACGCCCAGCCAGCGGCAGGCCTCCTCCTGGCCTCACGTGCGGTATTGCTTCCACAGTCGTGAGTCATCCCGGCCCTGCCTGTCTCACAGCAGCCAGGTGGGCCGAGATGCCGGCAGACACAGCGGGGTGGAAGGACTGGGTGCTGGGATGTCTCATAGAGAAGGAGCCCTCGGAGGCCAGCCTTCCCCGAGAAGCCGACGCCGCAAGGCCGGGGAAGGTTTGGCGCTGGCGCCAACCCCAGGCCTCGCTCTCACCTCTTCGTCCTCACCAGAGACCTGAGCCGGAGAGCAGGCTCCAGGGATCGAGAGCTCGCTCAACCTGCGTGTCCAGGCAGGCAGCTAGCTGATGGAGGCATTTGTCTCGGGCTCCTCTTCTCCCTGGCCTCCCTCCCCTGCCCGCCTGTCCCGGGAGAGTGGGAATGGCCACCTGGGCCCCAGCTGTGTTCTGCCCTGCTCTGCCCTAAAGCAGTGGGGCGTGGAGAGCCTGCAGGGAGGCTTTCTAGCCCCTTCCTTCCCCAAGTCATTTTGGAACCCAGAGCAGGGGAAGACCAGTTAAGGGGTAAGACTTACCTCTTCCTTCACCCTGATTTGGAAGAGCCCGGCCAGTGTTGTCCTCAGTTGTGGTCCCATGGGCCAGAACCGCCCTCCCGATGGTGGCCCTGGGAGCAGAGCTCTTTCCCTGTAGCAAAGACAAGAATCTCTTTACTTCCCAGCGAGAGATGACAACGAACAGTAGATGAATAGGACAGGTCAACTGCTATAACAAATAATCCCGTGACCTCAAGGCTTAATACAAACAAAGGCTTATTTTTTAATCCATGGGGTGGCAGGGGTGGGTGGGAAGATGTACCGCACCATCAGTCAGGGACCCAGGCTCATGCCATCTTATTTCTCCGTCTCACTCAGAGGTTGGAGTCCCCTGGACGCCCTGCCCTCAGGCAGCAGACAATGGGAGAGGGCGTGGGCCAGACCGCTCTGGCCAGCAGACCCAGCCCTGGGTCTCCTGCTCACCGTGTCCTTCTCCCTTCCTGGGGGACAATGGTTCCACGAGCAGGAGCTCATGCATAGTCGGGTGGAGAGAGGGCTGTGGCTGATCTTACATCGGGCCAACTCGGAACCACCGGAACAGAGCGTCCCCACCTGTGATCCCAGAACCGCTCCTCAGAATCCATCCGTGGAGGAGGGTAGGGATTGTCTGTTGAAGCAGCAGACTCTGGGGCACCGTCTCAGGCCGACTGAACTGGCATCGTTGGGAGTGCGGCCCTGGGCTCTTCTTTCTAAACCAGCTCCCTGGTCACCGACCAGCTCTGTGGTTACTGGACAATGAGGCCCATAAGACGAGACTTTATCCAGGGGCTCCTGTCTTGTCAGCTTCGTTCTGTCAGTATCTAGCGTGGACCCGAGAGCAGCAGACCCTCAGAAAGCTTCAACCCTGAACCTGAATCCTCAAAACCAAGATTACACTCAAAAGTAGAGAGAAGGTATAACAAACCCCCAGGCACCCTTCACCCAGGTTCAACAGTTAACCGACTCCTGGCCAGTCTCCTCCCACGCGTGCTCCCTTTCATTCAGTTATTTTGAAGCAAATGAAGCAAATCACAGTCATCAGATTTTATCCCCCCAATACTTAGGAATATAGCTCTAAAATATAAGGACGTTCTCTTTGTAAAATACAACCGCAATACTATAATTACTATAATTACACCTAAACATCAAATAGTTCCTTAATACCAAATATCTAGGCAGTGTTCCAATTTCCCCAGTTTTCTTATAAAGTTGTTCAATTAGCTTATTTGAATCAGAAATCCGGGCAAGATCCATATATTGCGACTGGTCGATTTGTCCCTTAATTCTCTTTTCATCTGTTGATTCCTCTAAGCACGCGAGGGCTTGCTAAAACAGAGTCCTGCTCCCCACCAAGGGATTCAGATTCACAAGGTCTGAGGCGGGGAGGGGGCTCCCTCAGACTGGTTTTTACTGGCTGCTTCCCCCAGCTGTCATAGAACATGTTCCTCTGTCCCTTGTATTTCCTGTACACAACTGGGAGAGAGCTCTGGAAGCTCAGTTGGATTCAGGTTCAAGTTTTTGGCGAGACAGCAGTATGGGTGGCATTTTGTTCTTCCCTCAGAGATGCATGATATCTCTTTGGCTCTCTTTTTTTGCCAAATAAGCGTTAACCCTGCATCTGACACTGAATTTGAGTGGGAAACACAGTGAGAACTTCACGGGACTCAGGTGGGCCCAGGGGCAGGGTTTTGGGAGGAAATAATTAATTGTCACCATGTGCCCACACAGAACACAGTCCGTTCAGAGAGCTTCAGACACTGCCTTCCTCTTAGGTTCACAACAGTCCTTTGTGGGGAGGCTGTGGCTGGCATGACTATCCCCGTTTTCCAGAACTGGAAGAAGATGAGCGACTTCACCAAGGCCACGTGTCCAGCAAGCTGTGGGGCTGGGGTGGAGGCCGGATTTTTCCCTGTCCAGGTGACTCCCCTGCTGCTCTTCCTCTTCCAGGACCCAGATCAACTTCACGGTGGCCATCGACTTCACGGCTTCCAATGGTGAGTGGGGGGATGGGCAGAGGAGCTGGCGCGGGGCTGGGGGCTGGAGTGGGGAGGGCTTCTCAGAGCTGTGGTAGTTGGTCCTAGCTGGGACCAGCTCTCCCATATTCTCTGGCCTCATCTTCACTGAAAAGGAGGTCCTTAGGGCTTGGGGAGCCAAAGGGATTACCAAGATGGTGAAGGTGTCCCCAGCCTGGACTGTGGTCACTAACAAATCTGGGCTCTGGGCCCATGAGGAGCGCTAGAGAAAAGATGTTTCCTCATGGGATCAAATCTCACATCCTCCCACACAGCCTAGTCCCCAGGCTGGAGGGGAGCTCTTTGGTCATCAGTGAGGGCAGGAATCCCAGTTCCCAGCTTTGTTGGGGCCGCCCCAGCTCCCTTCCCACTGGGGACCTTCTCCAGGGTGGGGCTCTGCCCAATTCACCACGAGTGACCAGTGCCCAATTTCACACCATTGGAAACGTCACCACCTCCCTTGGAGTCTGGACCCTCGTTGGTGGTACTCCGTGCTCACTCTCATGCCTGTCAGAGCAGCCCTGGTTTGGAACTCGTGGGATGGGCCCCAGAGTCCTAGGGTGGTAGGATTCAGGGCTGGGAGGGGCATTGCAAGAATCCCACCTGCTCTGTCCTCACAACACTCCCATGAGGTGGGACTGTCACCCCCGCTGCACACACGAGGACCTGACACTGAGAGGTAAGGACCCACGGGAAGAGCGTGCAGCTGGTCGCAGGGAGAGACAGGATCTGTTGGTTGGCAGTCTGTGACGTAATGCCTGGATGAATCAATAAGTAAAATGTGGGCCGTTCTCAGTGGGGACGAGGGCTATGGGGGCGACGTAAGCCAGCAAGAGGGATAAGGGAGTATTGGGGGAGGCTATGATTTTCAGGACGCACACTGGGAAGGGGACCACACTGGGAAGGGGACCCTTGAGTAGCCGAAGCAAGCTACACGTACTATGCGGAAAAGTGTCCTAGGGCAGAGGGACATGCCACTGCGGAGGCCCTGAGGTAGGGATGGCAAGGGGCTGGGCCTGAGGGAGGGGAGGGGCTGGCAGGAGGCATGGAGGGAGGTCACTGGAGGCCTGACCCCGAGGAGCCTGTGGGCTCCCCCGTAAGGACTGTGGGTCTGGTTCTGGGCGAAATGGGAGCCTTCAGAGCTGAGGAGAGGCATGGCCTCATTCCTTGGGCCGACTCCAGGCAAAGGACGGAAGCTGAGAGATGGTCTGGGCAGCCGCCCTCCCACAGGCAAGGGGATGGGGCTGTCACAGAGCACAGGAGAAGCAGGTGAGCGGGTGCATGTATTTTGAAGGGTTAGCAACCAGGATTTACTGAAGGATTGAAGGTGTGGCAAGAGAGAAAGAAAAGAGTCAAGGATAAAGAAAATCATGGGTGCCCCTGGAGACCCGCCTCTGCATTCTGAGCCCACGGTGCTTGGAGTGTCAGGAGCAGCGAATGTTTCACGTCCTGTGTCGCAGGGAACCCGTCGCAGTCCACGTCCCTGCACTACATGAGCCCCTACCAGCTGAACGCCTACGCGCTGGCACTGACTGCAGTCGGGGAGATCATCCAGCACTACGACAGTGACAAGATGTTCCCTGCCCTTGGCTTTGGGGCCAAGCTGCCACCCGACGGAAGGGTGTCCCATGAGTTCCCGCTGGTAGGAGGTCCTGGGAGGTCAGACCGAGGGCTGACCAGGCTCGGGGCTTGGCGACAAGCCTGGGGTGGAGGGCACTGCTCATCGTCCCTGCCCCAGGACAGTCAGTGCCCCCTTTGGAGGCAGGGTGGGTAGGTTGCCTGCTGGGGGGTGGGTGAGCTCATAGCAGGGCCCCCAGAAGCCCACTCCCCACCTTGCTCACCAGCACCTCCCCTCTGTGTCTGATGCCACCCACTGTGGGCTCTGGCCTCCTTTCCCTGACAAGACCCAGGAGAGTGGAGTGGAGATGTGCTTGAACTACCCCTCCCCCTCAAGGCCCCCAAAATAAGGGTAAAGGGGTGTGCACTGGGATAAGGCAACTGCGGGTGGTCCCAGGAGCTCCCTGAGTTGGTGCTGAGATGGGGGCCACCTCCTCTCCCTCCCTCCCACGAGCTGGGAGCACTCCGTCATGCCAGGCACGGTGTTGGACACCAGATACAAGACAGATCAGCTGCTGGTCCTTCCAGAGCTGCTCAGACCTGGCAGTCACTGGAGGATGGGGTGGTTTGCCCAAGGTTTCCTCAGAGGAGCAGCCAGGGCTCTCAGCGGGGCCTGTCTGAGCAGGAGCAGAGAGTGGGGCAAGGAGCGGGTTTGGGCTCTGCTCCCCCAGAGTGTGCGCTGCCTGCGGATCTCCCTCCCTTGCCCACTACCTCCCACCAGGGAAGAGTCATGGAGATCCCAGGACAGTTGGCCTTCCCCACCCTGGCTGTGCACAGGCCCGGCTACCCTCCCTCCTCCTCCTCCCTTCTTCCTGGGCTCAGCCTCCCTCTCCTCGGCGCCCCCAGAATGGCAACCAGGAGAACCCTTCCTGCTGCGGCATCGACGGCATCCTGGAGGCCTACCACCACAGCCTGCGCACTGTGCAGCTCTACGGCCCCACCAACTTCGCCCCAGTGGTGACCCACGTGGCCAGGTGAGTGCCACAGTCCCCAGATGCCCATTCCGGAAGCTCAAGCGGCGTCCGTCCACACCTGTCCTCTCCGGAACGTGGGAGGGGCGTCTCTTCCATTCACTCACCTTTCAGGGAGCCCTGACCCTAAAGAGACTCTCCTCCCGCCAAAGAATTATCCCCCCCCACCCCCTGCAAAGTGTTATGGGGGCGGGGAGGGGTGCAGAGCGGGCCAGACAGACTGCAGCCCCCGCTCCCCCATGCCCCCCAGGACTGCGGCCGCAGTGCAGGACGGCTCCCAGTACTCGGTGCTGCTCATCATCACGGACGGGGTCATCTCGGACATGGCACAGACCAAGGAGGCTATTGTCAATGTGAGCTGGGGGTGGGGGGCATGCCTTCCCACTTCTTTAGAGAAACCCCTGGGAGGAGGCTTCCCAGGCAGTGAGATTTGGGGAGTGGAAGGATCCTGTGGATGAGCTCTGTATCTAACACCCACCCTCCACATGGGCCATTCCCTCCCGATGCCTGTGGCTCCCTTGTTAATCTGTCTCTTGGACCCCTGCCCCAGACTCCAGCCTATCCCTGCCAGGAGGAAGTGGGAGCCCAGAGTGGGGGAGGCCCAGGAACATGACTCCCCCTACTGGGTGGGCTCCCAGTATAAGGGGCTGCAGCCCCAGCTCCCACTTCTGGATGCCCACATAAAAGATGTCCCACTTGATGGAGATGCAGGGACAGGAGAGGGGATGGGGGGTATCTCACAGAAGCAGACCTGGGACCCATTTCCCCCTCTTGACCCTCTCTTCCTCTCCGGTGCCCCACGGCTATTTCCCTTGGTTTGTGTCCTGGCCCTTTCGTATGTTTCTCTGTGTGTCTCCATCCTTCTCTCTTCCATTTCTCCGTCCTTCTGTCTTTCTTCCATGGACCCACCCCATTCTGTCCCTCCTCCTGATCTCCCAGGCTGCCAAACTCCCCATGTCCATCATTATCATCGGAGTGGGCCAGGCAGAGTTCGATGGTAAGTCCCCACCCCCTGATGTTTCCCCAGAGGCATCAGGCCCTTGAGAATGACCCTTCCCCAAAGAGTGAGAGCTCCTGGGTGGGTGTGACTGTCTGGGTGAGCAGGCAGGGTGTGAGGGTGTGTTTGTTTGTACAGGGAAGGGTGTGTCAGGGTGTACACCCATACCCATATCCCAAGGCTGTGGGGAGGCGGTCCAGTCCATCCTCCCTCCTCCAACCCTGGGAACGGAGGGTGGGGGAGCGGGAGCACTGGGTTAGAAGTTAGAGACGCACCATGTTGGGCTCCTCCTGTCTCCTCATCTCTAATGAGGGGGTCTGGTCTGACCATCTCTGTCCTGGATTGGCCCGGGATTGGAGGACAAGCCCACTGTCCTGCCAGGCCCGGGTGCCCACCATTAATTCAGTGTACCACCAATGCCTGTTTTCACACAGCCATGGTGGAGCTGGATGGCGATGATGTGCGGATCTCCTCACGGGGGAAGCTGGCAGAGCGGGACATTGTCCAGGTGAAGCCCAAATCCTGCCTGTCCCAAGGAAAATGCCCAAGCCCTTCTAGCCAGGCCAACCTCCTACCCCCTTTTAGAAAATTCTCTGGAAAGGGGCCTTGGAGGGATCCCCAGAGTGGTTTGGTCACCAAAGAAGGGAACAGGAATCGTCTTTGGGTCACACTTGTCCCCTGGCAGGACCCCTCCCTACCATGTCTGAGACTTGCCCCCAGTGTTTTTGCCCTGACAGGAATGGTCTGCCAATGCCTCCCTGAACTGCCAGGCCTCCATGGTTTCCTGCAGATCGTTTAGGCCCAATGCTTGCGCTTTCCATTGTCTTCTGTGGGGCTGCCTTCCCAGTGAGATGGCAAACCCCTTGGAGGCGGAGGAGGCGTCTTTAGTGTTGCCGAAGCCCTCTCTGGGAATGCGCATTGCCTGGTTCTTTGTATCTGTGTCTTACCCTCTCATGTAGGATGGCACACGTAGTGAGCAGACAGGTCTTTGTCCTCCAGGCATCCCTGCCCAGTCAAGCCTCAGAACGCACCTTAGTAAGCACTCCTGTCTGTGAACCTCCTAGGAGATTGGAAGTAAAGACTGACGTTCCCCAGACCCCCTGGGGTCCTTCCAAGGTTGGAGACCAGAGTCAGGAGGCTAGACCCCAGAACAGGGGCAGTTCTGGGAATAAGCCGGGGGAGGGGGGCACCCATGTAAGGAAAGGCCTGGAGGCAGACATGAGCTGAGGCACTCAAGGGTGGGTCACCCTCTGGGAGGAAGCCAGAGGAGCGTGACTGTAGGTGTCCACCCAGAGATGGAGGAGAAGTAGAGCAAAGGAGACAGAGAGGTTGGGGGAGATGGGAAGGCCCATTTCCCAGAAGCCAGGGTCTTCATCCAGCATTTTCTGATCACTGGCTGAGTCCCTGTGCTTGGTGCCAAGACTTCGGAGCTAAAGGGCTCCTGTTTAGGGGTACATCTTGGCATGGAATACGTGCCCCGTGATACCTCATTGAGCCAATGAGAGAAGAGCCCCTCAGGGTTCACCAGCAGAGGGTTGGCTGATGGAGAGGGCAGAGGTGGGGGAGGCATGGTCCTGGGCCAGGAGACTGGGGAGGGGGGAGGGGCTGGGGTCCAGCCAGAGACCTGGCCTGACTGTGCCTTTCCTCTGGCCAGTTCGTGCCCTTTAGGGACTACGTGGACCGCACCGGCAACCATGTGCTAAGCATGGCACGCCTGGCCCGTGATGTGCTGGCCGAGATCCCTGACCAGCTGGTGTCCTACATGAAGGCCCAAGGCATCCGCCCACGCCCCCCACCTGCAGCCCCGGAGTCCTCGCCTCCCCGGTCCCCAGCCCACACTCCCCCTGCCTCCCCCCTGCACACACACATCTGAGCGCTCTTCCCGAAGGTCTCTGGCCTGTGGTGGGTGGCTCCCTGGGGGGAGGGGGGCAGTGGAAGCACAGCTGGGGTCCCCAGACCCCCTTGCAATATGCCAGGCCTAGCCTTTGTAACTGTGTGTGCCTGGGAGGCCAGCGGGGGACGGGGCCCTGAAGACTCCGCTCTCATTTCCCAGCCTCGTGGCCCAAACCCGGGGAATTGGAGGGTACGTGTGGTGGGGGTGAGGTTCTGGGCCTCTGCCCTTCTCTGTCCCCCCAATACCTGGTTCTAGACCAGACAGGAAGGGGTTAAAGGTCAGGAGGATTGGGGTCCCCCTCAGTCCACCTGGGCAAGACCATCTGTTCCTCTGTGGCCCTGAAGCCTGAGCTGGGCCTCTCCCCTCTGGGGCGCTAGGATACCCCGCCCTCCTGTGCCGTATACTCCTACACTTGGCCCCTGATCTCTCACTCCCCAGTATCTACCCCATCCCTATTTCCAGTGAACCCTGTGAGGCTGATGGGTCTGCAGGGATGCCTGAACATGTGACCCCCTCCCAGGGACACTTGCATGCCATGGGAGCCCAGGAGACCCATGAAGGGGAGACTGTGATGGGAGGGCCATAGGCCACATAATGGGCTAGGAATGGAGGCTTTTTAGATACAGAGTCCTTTCCGGTGCCTCTCGGGCCCAGAAGGATGCTGGCTTTAGATCCATAGGCCTGTCCCTGGTGTGGGCCCACAGGCACCTCTACAGTTGACTCCTGGTTCTAGGCACCCTCTCCTCCTGCCAAGGCTGCCCAGGCCCCTTGAAGCCCAGTCCTCTGCTGCTCCCCTGGAGGCCTTGGAAGGAGCCATCCAGCCCCAGCACTCCCACATCGCCACTCTTTCCCACAGGGATAGGAGACAGGAGTCCTGGATTTGAGCCTGTGGGAACCCAAGCAAGGCCCTTCCGCCTTCTGGGACTCAGAAGTAGGGCAAGAGGGTTGACCAGATGGTTCCAGGTTTATCTTCAGCTCCGGTGTCCTGAGAGTCCATTCATGCCATGCCCAGCTTCCCCATCCCACGCCTCAGCAGTATGACCCCCTTACTCCAGGCCGTCTTGGCCCTTAGGGTCACTCTCTTCCCTCCTGTCACCTCAAATCCACTTTAGTCCTTCAGCCTTGGGCTGTGGGGTCTGAGCCCAAGCCCCTGCCTCTGCTGTGGGAAGGCAGGAAGGGTGATCTCACCCCTGGGCCCCCCGAGCTGCCCAGCCTTTACCCACACAGGGAGCAAGTCATGCATGCCAGCCCCTCCCACAGCATGGGGCCCCTCAGCCCACGACTCGTCCCATGCCTCGTCCCAACCTGTCCACTGCCCAACACCACTTCCCTTCCCATCATGCATGATGGTGGTGTTTCTATGCTGTCTGGTCCTGTGCCCGTCTCTGAGACAGTCTCTGTGTGGAATTTGCCTTAAACTGAAGTAAATTGGGTTCTTTTAGTAAAGTTCCTTGCTTTCCTTTCTCCTGTGAAAAACAGCAAGTGTGTTGCTGTTTGACAGAATCCAAGCTCTCCTCTCTCTATCTCTCTTCTATTCTTTTGTTCGATTAAGGATTTCCTGAGCAACTACAATGTGCCAGGGCCTGGGCTGGGTGCTCAGGGTACAGCAGTGAACAAAGCACTTGCCCTGTCTCCGCACAGAGCTCACAACAGACACACAAATAAGATGGGAAAACCCAGGAAGCACATAAACAAATAGGTACATAACCTAATTTCAGGTGGTGGTAAGAGTTACAAAGACAAATAATGGAGAAGAAGGGAGAGTGGTGTTTTAGGTGTGGTGGTCAGGGCGGACCCCTCTGAGGAGGTGAAGGTGGAGATGAGCCCTAAGGAAACGAGAGAAGGAGGCATGCTGGTATCCAAGGCAGGAGGGCTCCAAGTAGAAGGAACAGCAAGTGCAAAGGCCCTGAGGGAAGAGGATACTTCGCGTGAAGGGCAATAGGGATGCTTATATGGTTGGAGCTGTGTGAAGAGGGGCAGGGGCCAGGGATAGTTCAGGAGATGAGATGAGGGAGGTGAAGAATCCAGAACGCGTAGGCCCTTGTAGGCCATGGTAAGGGCTTCAGGATTACTGTGAGTGAAACAGAGCCAGCTAGGAGGTGAGAGAGGTGAGTAACACGATCAGATTATTCTCTAGAAAACAAATGGGTCACTTTACTGCATTTGATCGCTGACTCATCCCTCAACAAGCATTTACTGAGCACCGGTGCCAGGCCCGGCTCAGGTTTGGAGACACTGATTCACACATAGCTGCACCCTCCAAGGGTGACCTCTGCTTTGGAGCAGTGAGCAGAGAAATCCTACCACCCTGGGCTACCCATGCTAAGCCCATGGGAGGGGTCAGCGTCTTGGGCACCAAAGGGGTGCTCCTGACCCAGCCTGGACGACCCACAGGCCAGGTGCCAGGAGCGCTTGTGTGTGATGGGACCACTTCTCTTTTCTGGTGGGATTAGCGTGTGGACAGACTGTGGGCCTACAGATGTGCCCACATCAAGTGTGCGAGGTGCACAGCCAGGATGCACTTGAGGAGGATGGTAATCTCTCTCCTCCTGTTTCCTCTTCATATATAAATCACTGTGGCCTTCAGAGCCCAGGATCGTGGGGAAAGGGGACTTCCTCCTCTGGGCAAGCTCACGGTCAGATTAGCCCTCCAGCCAGCCATTTCCAATCTGCACTTCACAAGAAATCTGAGACTAATTATACCAAAGTTTGGGACTTATTTACTTCTTATGATTTTATAGTAAATTAGAGCTGATTCATGGCTGTCCCTATAATTAGCTACCCCACTGACTTGCATTCCAATATGCTTTGAGTAAGAACCGGGTGGGGTCATAGCTCGGGAGGGAAGTTCCCAGAACCAGTGACCCATTTTGCCTCACCTCGGGTGCCTATGAGAAAGCGTCAAGAGGAGATGCCCACCGGGCAGGGGAATCAAGTCTCAGAGCCACTGCCCCAGGGAGCTAAGGTCATCTGTACTGTGCTTGACACTGTAGCTTCCCTCCTGGGTTATTTCTCAAGGTGTGTTCCACAGAACGCTGGTTCTCTCACATGGATTTTGGGGACCTGCCTACTCCGAGTCCCTCTCAGAGAATCCCAGTGGTCTTTGAGGTATTCAAAGCTCTGATAAGTCCTGCAGCAAAGAGACCCGTTTAAGTTGGTTTAACCCAGTGTTTCTAAAGCTTTTTGACCACGGAGACAGATTGTGTGTGTGTGTGTGTGTGTGTGTGTGTGTGTGTTTAGCTGTAACACTGTTACCAAGCAGAACATGTCTTGGGACTTTAAGTAGAGACAATTCCCCTGGTTACCAAACTAACACAGATGCCGAGACCTGCTTCCAGGAGGCCAGAGGGAGGGCCTGGAGTTTGGGAACTTCTCAGAGGAGATGGGGTAGGAGAGGTGGAGACCTTCAGTTGCTTTGGGAAGAAGGAAGGTGTGTGCCACACTGGGAAGAGAAATCACAGAGAAGAAAGGAGGCATTCAGAAATTCATGGCTTCAAGGTTGACCTTGTATTCGCTTGTTGGGCCGAGAGGTGTGTGTGACCCAGCTGGCGGAGGGCAGGCAAAGACGGGAGAGGTCCCTAACAGGCTCCCCTGGCCTTGGGGCCCCTACCCTGGCAGCAGCTGTCCCCTCCCCTCACCCCATTTTTTTCCCAGGCCTTCAGGATTAAGGACCCCAGGCTGTTATTCTCTGGGTCATTCCTATACCCACATCTCTGCCTTTGGAATCCCTTTACTGACCTCTTGTCCCCTCACCTCAAATGCCCCTGAATTAATAAAAATAAAATGATAATGGTAATAGTAATGATGAAACTCATACGTGCTTACGAAACACCAGGCCTTCTAAGCACATTATATGTTATGTTTGTCTTTATAACAATGCTATGAAGAAGGGAATGATCACTACCCCAGATGAGAGAAAAGAATCAGAGAGAGGTGAAGGGACTTGTTCAAGATCATACAACTAGAAAGTGGTAGAGTCTATAGGGATATGAGTCCCAAGGTGGGAAGGGAGCATCAATCCAGTCACCATTTCGGTTGCTGTGTCTCCTTGGCTGGGCCACCCGCCCTCTCTGGATCTCAGTCTCCCCATTGGTAAAATGGAGGGGATAGGCTCTAGTGTCCCTAAGCATCTTCCCACCCTTCTTGACTCTCAGCCCTCTCTCCCATCAGCCTATCTTCTCAGACCGGCACTCCCCTCCACCCCGCCCCCCCGGACTCCATAGGCCTCCTGGGGCCCTGTCCTGGACCGGCTGGATGCTCTCCAGCACCATACTGGCCCCGCCCACACCCTCAGGGTGCCTGGCGGCTGTGGGCCTGCAGAAGACATCCCTGAGCCCTGCCTGGAAGGGGCGGGAGAGGTAGAAGCAAAGGATGGGGCTCACGGCACAATTGGAGTAGGCCAGGATAGTGCAGAGGCTGGATGCCACAAAAGCTGCTGGCGTGACAGGCAGGCCACCCACAGCTGCCACATAGCCCAGCACAGAGCAGGGCCCCCACATCAGCACAAAGACCCCCAGCACCACCAGGATGAACGCTGTGTTCTCCCTGTGCTCCTGGATGCTCTCCCCACTGGGGCCACGAGGCTGTGTCCACATGAGCCAGCCCACGTGGCCGAAAGAGCAGCCCAGCCCCCCCACACAAGGCAGGAAGGCCAGGGCTCCCAGCAGGGTGAAGTAACAGGAGGTCCCGGCAGGGCTCAGGAGCAGGAGGCAGGCCCGGGTCCCCGCTGGCCCCTCCTTCACCACCACTCTCTGGAACAGCCAGTTGGGCAACGAGGCGGTGACGCCCAGGACCCACATGGCCCCACAGAGCAGCAGGCGGGTGCCCCGGCCAGCGGAGAGGGCCACCTCAGGCCGGGCCACGGCCACGTGGCGCAGAAAAGCCGTGGCCACCATGCTATAGAAGGTACAGAACATGGTAGCATTGTGGGTGGCCTGGCTGGCAGTGCAGATGACAGGGCCCAGCCACCAGTCGCGCCG